CCCCCGTCCCTTGAACAGGAGTAGATGTTTATTCCTTGTTTCCTGTTTAGAATTGGCCTCCAGGTTCATTAAAGTTTATTCCAACTCTGTACTTGTAACGTATCCACCTAAACTCTGAAATTTTTTTTACTATTTATATTTTTTACTTCAGTAGGAGTAGATAGGTTCGCCTATTGTCCGGTTCATACTCCTCCCCGGTCTCTTGAACAAGAGTAGATGTTTATTCCTTGTTTCCTGTTTAGAATTGGCCTCCCGGTTCATTAAAGTTTATTCCAACTCTGTACTTCTAACGTATCCACCTAAACTCTGAAATTTTTTTTACTATTTATATTTTTTACTTCAGTAGGAGTAGATAGGTTCGCCTATTGTTCGGTTCATACTCCTCCCCGGTCTTTTGAACAAGAGTAGATGTTTATCCCTTGTTTCCTGTTCTTGGATTGGGTTTCTGGTTTCTTCTAAAGTCTACTTCAACTCTATACTTCTAAAGTCTCCGTTTAAACTCTGAAATTTTGTTTACTATTTGTTTTTTCTTCCTTCAATCGGAGTAGATAGGTTTGCCTATCGCCCGGTTCATAATCCTCCCCAGCTTTTTGAGCAGAAATATAGGTTTATCGCGTGTTTCCTGTTTCGGATTGGGTTTCTGGTTCCTCCTAAAGTGTTTTCATTCTCTTTCACTTACAGCAGCCGCCTTGCGTCTTGATAGCATTATCGCCTTGCTTGGGGTGAATTGATTAAAAATGGAAGAAGCTTGGTTTTGGAGGTATTTAATGTTACAGGCCAGTTTTTCTTCCATTGAGCCACCAAAGGAGATCATCTCGATTTCTGGAGGTGCACTCATAAAACGTAGCTTTATTTATTTTTTTATCTGCAGAGCTATTTACACATGATCTGAGAATGTTCCTGGGCAAATCGTTAATATAAATCAGATAGAGGGTAGAACTGAGGTGAGAGCCTTGGGGGAGACCTGCATTCAAATGCTTACTTTTTTGCAACGTCGAGCCCGGTCAGTGCCAGGATGGATGATAGCTTTGGGATATCAGGTGCTGTAAGCGCGGACGTGCGGGTGGTGTAATGGGCAATGACTCGGAATTGTTAATCAGGGAACCGAGTTCCAATTCCTGTTGGGTTCGTTATGTTCACTTACGCGCAAATACCCTTGGAAAATATATGAACCCACCTCGTCTTCTACCAACTATGGGTTAGTAAGACTTGTATCACTTTTGATAAAATCCATATAAGAAGCTGCAACGTTATCGGTCCTGACCTGTCATCTCTGCTTCAGTCCCTTTCCCACCGCCGTAACGTAGTTTCCCTGTGCCTTTTTAATAAATAATTTCATTGTAAGTGTTCTTATGAACTTTGCTTTATGGTAAACTTTATGAAAGTAAGCACAGTACTAGATTGGCGCTAAGGTCTCATCATTTTACAGTTGAAATGGCTAGATGGAACCGTAAGTTCTATGCTAACAGTTTCTTCTATCTCGCTTCTCTTCAGGCTTCTTTCTTCCCAGTCAAGTTTGAGCTTCAAAAGTTTAAATGCAATATTAATCATTATCCTCTATCTTCTTAATTCTTGTTCTTTTATTGTTCTCGCTCTCCTTATTCTCATATTCTGTGGCACCCAGTAACACCTTGCGTAGTGGCTTTATTGTCTTGCTTGGGGTGAAATGATTTCTAAAAAATCGCTAAACAATTATTATCTCAAAAAGAAAAAATAAATTCTTACAATCTAAAAATATTTTCTGGCTTTAAATAACCTGGAAATAGTTGATAAGCTGTAGAAAACGAATGAAACAAAACAAATACTTTTTTCTTCAATGCGGTGATAATCGTGATAGCATTCAACTGGGAGAAAAAAGTCACCTTAAAAGAGACTTCACTTATCATTGGGATCTTTGGGTACATTTTCACGTTTAGTATGATTTATTTATTTGTTTGTTTATTTATTGTGCACGTATGTATGTGTGTGTGTGTGCGCGTGCGTGCGCGTGCGTGCGTGTATATGTATATGTGCGTGCTCGCGTGTGCGGGCGTGTAAGAGAGAATGAAAAAGAATGTGGTGAGAGAAACAAACTTAAACATAAATAAATGTTCAGTCTGTCTTTTTTTTCGTCCAGTGCAGTTCCTTTTCACGGAACCATACCTGCACTTGCAGCACACGGTGTATAGCGTCATCCGTAATTTTTATCGACCTTAGAAGGACCCACATTGTTTTTTTTTAAGATCCCCGCTTCGACCCCCTCCATCTCTTTATATCACCTGCTCTACCTCTCTAGAGCCGTCATCGAATAAGATCGACATTAAAAAAAAAACCTCCGCTTTCTTTATTTCTTTTCTCTTTCTTTCTCTTTTTCTACCTTTCAACAAACATTTTTGTTTTCTTTTTCTGTTTTTATTTTTACGCGCATGGGTTCTGACTGTCTGCCTGTCTGCTTGCTTGCCTGCTGCTTGTTTTCCCATCTGACAATACATACATATATATAAATATATATATATATATATTTCCCAGTTGCGACATTCAGTCTTCTTACGTTTGGTCGACTTGTCTGTCAGTGTCCGCCGGAGAAGCGGTCGACTTGATTTTTTTGCCCACAAAAACGGCTATTTTCATCTGTCCTTTCTTTCTTTAAGAAAGTAAATTTCGGCTTTTTTTCGTTAAAAATGGCCCAACCATTAACCTTAAGACTCAAGAGGCCTGATTCAGGAACTTCTTGGGGGTTCAGGCTACAAGGAGGGATTGATTTTAGTAACCCACTTTCTGTTCAAATGGTAAGTAATTTTACAATTTTATTTATTTAAGTTTAAGTTTTACATATTTTTGTTCAACCCCCAAATGAGGCGAAATCGAAAAAAAAAAAGGGGGGGATGGGAATAAAAAATGTTTTAGTAAAATGAATGAAATTGAAATTTAAGATTACTTTTTGTTTTTTATAAATATTTTATTTATTTATTTTAAAAAAATCTTTTAGTTTTATAATTATGATTTTTTTTTTACCTTATCTTATATTGAAAAAAATAATTTATTTAAAAAAAACTTTCATGTTTCCCCCCGGAAGTTTTGGAAAACAGAATGCCATACTATGAAACAAAATTACAAAAACAATGAAATTATTGGAATTATTAAATGTATCACTGTGTGTACTATTTTTAAATGCTTGTTTTCAGTACGATTTATGATGGTATGACTGGTCTTTTTAAAGTATTTCTTTGTCATAACAAAACAAGCAATTAAAAAAGTGAATCGAGCTATTTTTTTTTAATGTTCTGATCCTCGCAAAAGAGGAAGGTGTTACTGTAAAAAAAGTGTAAAAGTAAAAAAAAAAAAAAAATTAAATAAATAAAAACAGAATCATAATTTGAAGAATCTTTCAGAAACTTATTAATTTTGCATTAAAAACGAAAGTTTGTAAAGAAAAAAATAAACAAAACACTCTTTTTCTTTACAATTGTGAATTGATTGATCCTCAAACGTATTTATTAGGAATAGATTCCACAACAGCTGATTTCAACAATTGACAGTCTTTCTTTACAGAGTGAGCAAGAAAAAAGATATATTTTTATTTTTTATTTACTTGATTCTCACTTTAAAGACTGACCGCCAAATAATCAGGGTATGAATAAGTTTTTCACGCCACATCAGATATTTCTAGATGTTAATTGAAAGATCGTTTTAAACAAACTAAAGTCAAAAATTTACTTTAATTTTAAAATACAGCGTGTCTGTAAACAGAGCAATAAAGTCTGGTCCATAAATAAATTTATAAAGTAAAAAAAAAAAGCAGTAACGAATTAATTTTTTTTTCCTTCGGATTTTTTGTTTATGGATACTTTTTTTTTTATTGTTGTTTATAAACGTAGAGAAATGACGAAAGCAACATTGATAAATCAAATAAAATTTTATTGCTAAATTCAAAAACGAAACATGGAGTTTAAAGTAAACACACGAATCGACGTCTGTACCAAATGAGCCACAGACTTCTATGCTATGAGATGTTTTCAAAATAAACTTTTTCAAAACAAACTTTCTGCTTAAACCTGTGTACACACGCATTGATTAATAAATGAAATGAATATGTACATATAGAAATGTGTGTAGCTGTCAGTGTCATACGTGCGTAACTGTACAAAAAACAAATATGCTCTCTTTCAAAAGTTGAAGCAGTTTTTTAGTGGTCATTTGCAATTTTTTTTCTCTAGCTTGATTCGAACCCTAATCGTTACGGTTAAGTGTAACCAATTAATTAATTTTTTAAAAATATCTGGTATTTTTCTATTGAAAGGGTGCTGAACATTTCTCGACCCAATCCACATCCCATATTTTTTTTAAACTAAAAACTAAAAAGGGATTCATGGTCGGGCCGCGAACTTTTCAACGAATTCTCATAATTTGTTCATTTCATAAAAAGTCCTTTTTTTTTCAATCACATACACAAAAAAAATAATAAAAAGTAAAGAAAGACTGATGGTTTTAAATTTCAACTACACATTTGGAAAGAACACTACCTTCCCACAAAGTCTCTTTCTGAGCTTTTTAATTTTTTTGTATGCCTGTCGATATTTTTTAGCCCAGTCTGGTTCAAGGCCAAAGCTATGGCGCGTCCAATAAGGATTGAACTCGGTACTGTACTGTAATAATAACGAATGGCTTGTATTGTATAGATAGGCTAGCTAGCAGCTTGTTAACCACTTTTTAGACGAAAAGTAGCTATCCACGGTCCGGTATTATCATCACAAAGTAGACATTTACGGCTACCCAAGTGCCAAGTCTGATAAAATGTGGCTTCTACAAAATAAATAAATAAATAATTTAGAATGCACTATCCAATGTTTTATACGTTTTAAAAATGAAATTTATGATATTTAAAACAAAAATGCTATAATCGTCCATAGATCAAGCTTAAGACAGTTAAGTTTTAAGTTAAAGTGTTACTAAGTTTTCTTTACCTTGAACCTATGATCCAGTCTCGATTTTTTCGCCCTTTTAAAACTTTAATTAATTAAATGATTCCTTCTTCTGCTCCAGTATTTTTTTTAAAAATCTCTTCTTGTTTGTTTTTTTTATGATAGCAACCGAAAGTCCACGCTGTTGATTGCTAAAACAAAAAACAAAACACACAAAAAACAACGAGCAAACAAAAATCTATAGACATTTGTGGTGACAGTTTTCCTTTCATATTTTTAGAACGGGTAGCAATATAGTACTGACCGCTGTGGCCTTGGTATTAAAATCAAAGAAGAATGTGAGGTGTAAACATCCGGTAAATGAGTCAACATGGTGCCTCAGAGTAGGGTAATGGTTAACGAGCTACTCCAATTGATCAATACTGGATAGTAGGTATTTTTATCCGTGCGCCCACGTCGCAACAGAATGTGACACAAGGTCGAGGTTTAATGTGGAAAGCCGTGCAAAAATTTCTCACTCCCTCACCTCGGCACTTCCCCTTTTGAGGTACGCCTCTGGCGTCGAGTAATGACACCAGCACCGTCCCGAAGTATAGGAACTACCTACGTTTGTATGCTTTTAGTTGCACCATATCATTTCTTGGCTTCTTTATGGAACCTGAGTCAAAAACTAACCAAAGTCCACTTCCAGGAGGGGGGGCATTTTACACTTACCAAACTGCATTTTTCTATTAAAAAGGGAGAGGAAAAGTCATCAGTCCTTGAGGAGCCCCAAAAAGAGGAAGTGTCGAGAAAACTGAATACTCGACGAATGGAATGTGGTAGAAGGCATATCACCTTAAAAAAATTATTCAACGTTTTAACAAGAAAAATCTCAAGTTGATGTTAAAAATTGTTGGATTTTAAAAGATTGAATGATGTCTCTAATTAACTGATTTGTATTTTTAGATACATTGTATTTATTTTTCTAGTTGAATTGTTCACCTATATTGCATATGATCCACTATATTGTATATAATTAGGTTACAATATAAAATTTGTGTTTTATTATGAATACTACCTTATGACAAATGAGATGTAGTAGATTGCAGGGCCCCGTATCATAGCTTCAGGGGGAGTCGAGTGACGAGGCCTTTACACCGGCCCTGATGATAACACCTTTTTTATCCCTCACCAAACTGCATTTTTTTTATTAAAAAGGTAGAGGAAAAGTCATCAGTCCTTGAAGTGTCCCAAAAGAGGAAATGTCGATAAAACTGAACACTCGACGAATAGAATGTGGCAGAGTGCATCACACGCCATTTAAGCAGACGTGGCTCCATGTTATTTGTGACCTTGTGTCAAACTTACCATCTGCGGGGGTGGTAGATAAATAATATAAAACAAAATTCTTTTATGACTATATAAAGTTTCGTTTTCATTTCTCTCTTTTGAAAGATTATCTGTCCTTAAAAAGAAAACAACACCCCCTGCCATTTGAAAACTAAAAATTGTCAGCTATTTAAGATTTTAAACTTAATTTTTTTTTTAAATTGATTTACTTACTTCATTCATTTGTTTGAAAGGAAGACGTACACATTCATTTTTTTAATTGTACCTTAATCTTTGTTTTCCAAGGTGTTATTAACTTCTTCCTTTTTTGACAAGTTCAGTCATCCCCAATATCTCTTTTTACTTTTTAAAATATTCATTTTAGTTCTTTGAAAGAAAAAAAAAATCTCAATTTTTGTCAGTGTTTGAGATAAAAGAACACGCAAACTTGTAATTCTATATATCCTCTCGTGTGTACATGAACAAAATATGACACAAAAAAACCAAAATCGATTTTAAGGTGCGTACATGGGATGAAATCTGCTCTTCCCTTTTGGGGACTCCTCTGGTCCCAGGGATTAACCCTATCCAGCTTCTGAAGGTGAGGTACTGTCTGAGGGAGATGGTCCCTTGGGGTTCAAGCATATTGTCATTGTCATGACGTCATCATATCATTTTTAACGCCGCAAACCTTCCATATGTCTGTATTGAATTGTTATGTGAGTCAAAAGATTTTACGGGGCTGCAATACGTTGATTTATTGAAAAGAAATTCATGGTTCAATTTGGGGCAGTTCAAGTAACCTTTCAAACTCTCAAGCCGGAAAAATAAAAAGAATTAACGAAGAAAATTAATAATCTAAAATTAAAAAAACAAATTTTAACACGGCTTAGAATTTCAGCACGACTTTTGATTATCTATCTATCTATCTATCTATCTATCTATCTATCTATCTATCTATCTATCTATCTATTCGTCTAGCTCTCTGTCTGTCTATCAATCATAGATACAGACATGTGTGTACACGAAGTGGGTCTGAAAATTTCTCAGTCCGACACACTTCCAAAAATAAACCCGACCAAATATCAGAATTTTTCAAATACTTCCTTGATCTGCTTGAAAACTTTTCAGCACCCCGTCATGCGGGAAAGATAGAAATGATTATCTATTATTATTTTTTTAATTTTATCATTTTGTTACCCGAAATTCGATGATTTTTTCTTTCTTCGATCATATCTGGTAAAAATGTAACTTTATTCTGGGTATCATAGGCAGTGAAACTTACTTCTGTCTGTGTAGTAAATTAAATTCAAACTTCAGGGCTCCTTTACCACTGTCTTTGTATCAGACTAGGCTGAAGTTCACTTCTCTTGATAATTTATGCTATAAAGCTAAAAACACTTGGTATTTTGAGGGTACCTAAACAAATGTCTCTCTACATTGATCCCGTTAATGTGGTGCTCAGATTTCAAAAACATTGAAATATTTATTAATTATTGGGATGAAAAATTGTTAAAAAGAAACAATAACAAAGGCCGGTGCGTACTACCCCTCGATCGAAGCGGGTGCAAGCCTGATTGGGGGCCACGGGCAGTGCTTTGTGACCTTCGCTACCTTATCAAAATTTGTTGTTTTTTTTTTACCTATATTTATATATTGCAAATAATAACTGACTATTAGTATTAAAGAACTATTTTGACGTTATTAGGGTTTTTTTTCTCGTCCAAATCCGTGAAAAAAACCCACTAAAATTCACTATTTTTATCCTTAATGTTGAATGTGTTTAAATATTCAACATTTTAACAAGAAAAATCTCAAGTTGATGATAAAAGTTGCTGAATTGTTGATTTATTTGAGATGGAATGATTTACCAACATGTCTAGACACTACTAGTGTATATTTATTTTCAATGTTTCTAGTTGAATTGTTCTCCTATATTGCATATCATCCATTATTGTAGATAATTAGGTTACAATAAAATTTGTATATATGAATACAATTGAGATGTAGTAGAGTGCGAAGCCCAGTATCATAGGTTCTGGGGGTGGGCACGAGACCCTTAAACCAGCCCGGAAACACCATTATTATTGTTGTGGTAGGATCCACCTAATTTGCATAATGGAGTACCGACCATATAAATATGGTTGGTACCGGGAAGAGAGGACGGAGGAATCAAGAGATTCAATCCAGAGACTCTGCCCGACTGCGACTAAGTCAACACATTCTTCAGGAACGGTCTTCCCAAGAATATACAAAAGACTATTGTGTACACTTTCTTGTTTCAATACATTTTGTTCTAAGTACATTTTGTGTTGTATTATTATTCCATGCATTAATCAAGTTTCAACAATTATCCTACACCAAGTTTCTTATTTATTTTCCTTGTGTTTATTTTCTACTTCATTTAGAGGCACGGTGGCATAATGGATTGTGGCTCGGCTTGGGGTAACGGAGAGCCAAGTTCGAATTCCAGTCAAGTTCATTTACTTAATTCATTTAAATATTTATTTTATTTCATCAATACCTTTGGGAAAATATCAATCCATCTCTACTTCTTTAAAATAGCAGGACAAACTTAGGTCGCTACCCTCTACGTGAAAGAACAGCCTGTAGTCCTTGTGTACGGACCGAGGGCGGCCCACATCGAATTCCGTGGTCTTCTGTTGTCGGTCAATAGATTGGAGAGGAGATTAGCACCACCAATCTATCTGAATGTCCACTGAAAAGATCACGAAGAATAAGAATCAGTCTGTTTCTTTTGCTCTCAGCATTCCACCCTCCTCGGCGATTGAAGCAGTCAGGGCACTGCTGATGAAAAATGTTGCTCCGTCTTACTACCCGAAAGAATGTTATTGTATGGTAAAAAAAACAAAAAACATTGGTAGTAAGATGGCTCCCGCTTTCGCTAAGTTCACCTTACAGACAAACTTTCAAACGAAACAATGTTTAAATTATTCATTTAACAATAAGACAGACGTACGTCTTATTTTGTCAACAAATAATTTTATCTTTGATTTGTATGGTAAAAAAAAAAGAAAAAAAAAAGCTACCATTGGATTCGAACTCACGATCATCGAATCTGCTTGCAAGAATCCAACCTGCAAGATATCGCACTAGACTGAGGCTTCTTTTTTTTCTTTTATAAATTTTAAATTTTTATCTATTTTAACTTGTGGAATTATTCAACTTATACAGCAAGGCAATTCTGAGAGAACAAGAAGTCCTACCAGGATTCATTATTGACGGCCACAATCTTAACAACATAAGATATGCAGATGACACAGCGTTGATAGCAGACACAGAAAGAACGCTACAAAAACTCCTACACTTTTTCTTGTGAAGGAAAGTGAGAAGAAAGGATTAAACATCAACTGCAAGAAAACCGAATACATGGTTGTCTGCAAAGGAATGAGCCCAAAGTATGAATTGCAAATCGGAGGTACCAAAATCAAACAAGTGTGAAAGTTTATGTATCTGGGAAGTGTTTTAGCAGAGGGCGGAAAGTGGAACACTGAAATCCAAAGGTGTATTGGGATGGCCAAAGATTCATCCCAAAAGTTAAGCAGAGTACTTAGAAATAGAATAATTTCGCTAGAATACAACGTGAACGCTTTTTTTTTTTACATAATTTTTTTTTTTTTTGACTACCCTTAAAAATTTAGGAACATATTCTAAATAATATAATATTATTTAATGTACTTTGGTATTTCTTCAAATAAAGTTTTAGAAAAGTAAATTTTATTTTTGAAAGATTTTTTTTTTTAATTAAAGAGAATTATGTTGTGTTGACAGATTTGACACTATGGTCGATTTTAGCTATTAAAAATCATTTCAATCGATTTAAATTCGGTTTGAAATGCAGAAAAGTATTTTGCTTATTGGAAATATTAAATTATCTTGAAATTGAAACTCAAATAAAAGCTTCAAAAAAAGATTTTTCATTTTTAAATTGCATTTTAAATCTTAGATATCGCTTTTTTGAGGTATCTATATTTAAATAATATTATAAAAACTAATCTTTATTCTAAAAATTATTCGATTATTTAACATGTAACTCTGATCAAAAAACTTCGTTCGAAACAAAGAAAAAGAGTGCCACTAGCACGCAAGGGGTTACAGATGATTGAGAACAAGAGTAAAGAGGCGTGTTTGAGGAAAGGACAAAGAAGAGGATGGGAACAAGCTCAGTGTGTCAGATGTTGATTGACACTTGAATATTTGAAGATTATAGTCATCGGGGAAGCAAGTAAAAGGGGAAGGGAGTTTCACAGACGGGAAGAAGAAGCTGTTTGAGAAGAGACGGTTACATTTAACCGTTTTGACAGTGTTAAGAGTGAGACCGAAATACCAGCCTGGTAGCATGTTTAAATTCATGAAGTCCGGGAACCAGCGACAGTACCTCGCCGGAACAGCTGCCGTGAAAATATTTGTAGAAGAGACAGAGGGAGGCCACAGCACGTCTGTGGTATAGCGATTGTAGACTAGATGCCAGATCAGGACCTATCATCTTGCATATTCGTCTCTGGATTTTGTCAAGGACTTCGAGACGTACAGCGGGGACACCAGACAATATGTGATAGCAATATTCCATGCAAGGACAGATGGTTGATTTATAGATTTGAAGGATGGACAGATGCGAAAAACCTTCTGGCCCGACACAGAGAGCCAATTTTCCTTGCGGTAGATGATGCTATTGATTCAATGTATCTATTCCATCTCATGTCAATGGACAGCGCGAGACTAAGCAGGCGTAACGAGGTGATCGTAATATCAATCCTCCTATATGACGATGAACGATGAAGAAGAAACTAGAAGCAACAGAAATGTAGTTATACAGAAGGATGTTGAGAATAACATGGGCCGGACATATGAGCATCGTCGAAGGTTAAAAAAAATATGTAAACAAAAAGGATACATACTTAATATAAAGAAGAGAGAGTTGACAATTTTGGGGCATATAATGAGCGCTTGGAAAATATGATACTCACGGGACAGGCTGAAGGCAAGAGGGACACAGGTAAACAACCCATATCATACATAGTGAGCTTAGGTAAGTAAATGGCAGAACAGGGTTTAGGAGCGATAACAAAAAAGACAAAATTTATTAAGAGCTACAAAGAACAGGAACTTGTGGAGAGCCATAATCGCCAACGTCCGGAGGGGACTCGGCATATATAAAATAGATTTTTTTTTTCAAAATTTCCTTTTTAATTTTAACTTGTTTCTGCAGATGGCCAATTGGTGTTAGGAAGATTGTGTTGCTTTAATGATCTGAATGGGGAGAGTTTAACGTTACGTATTCTCAGATGTTAGTCTCGAATACCTACCGCTGTTGCAGGTGTTTTCTTTTCTTTCTTTTTATTTAAGTATCCATTACAGTCCATAATATCTACTTGGGCATGTGGATTACCCCACTTACTTTCCTGAAAGAACGCCACTAGGGGACGCACCCTAAGCCTATAAATAAGAAGTTGTCTGTCATTCTCTTTTTCCTATTTTCACTCAGGAACAGTAAGATGTAGATCGAACGAGGAAAACGTTTTCCCCACGCATGAGCACGTATGCACCTTTCATTTCATTTTCTCTTGGACTTTCTCCTGCACGAAACTACACACACAAACAATTCACATGTTTAAATATTTTTTTTATTCATGTTCATGGTTTTGTAACACGCACCAATATTCTATTGTCTATGTATACCCTTGTTTTGTTAATACATATATCGTTTGTTTCTATTTATAGTTTTGGCGTTACTTTATTTTATCACCTGGACTCACATTCCGAGTCCGCCATTTTTGTTGTGGGATAAATATATTAGGAGACACGGGTTTTTCCACCTAAATACGACCAGCATACTCCCGCAACAGATTAAATAGTAGACTAGACCGAGATCTCTAGCTTCGGGTAGCAACCAGTATAAGATAAAGAAAACTCTGAATTTCAAAACGGTGGAGAAGACAAGGGGAAAAGGACGTATGGCTATTCGCAGATAACAAAAAGGAATCTGTTGAAATCCATGATCCCCTACGTCCTGAAGGGACATAGACTTAAAAAAAAATAATCATATTTGATGACATATAAACCTCCACCTCTTCATCACAAAAATATATCCCGGGTCTTATAAGCGAAATTGAGATATTACAGAGTAGGCTAATGTTTACCCAAACGTCGCAGACTACCATTATCTACTTGTAACACGACTAACTCCATAAAATTGTAATATTCAATGTAAATATAGTGTGGGGAGTCTTATCAAATACGTTAAGTACATTACCACAATTGTAAGCAAATATATGGATATAGATCCGACAGTATGAAGAAAAATATATACGGAAAAAACAAACAAAAATGAGATATATACAATTATGCTTTTTAATGTTGTATTGATAACGTTATAATTTATGAATATGTCCATGAAGATGGTTTATTATTCGAAACGTCCGACATGACATATTAACATTAAAACAGCATAATTGTATATAAGGATTTTTGTTTGTTTTTTCCGTATATATTTTTCTTCATTACCACAATTAATCGTTTTAATCTGTGAAATAGTTTGAATCTGTGAATAGTTTTTCTATTTCAATATTATGATAAATCTTAATTCTTAAGTTAATAATTGAGTAAGCTCATGGCAAGTTCTACGACAATAAAATAGCTGTAGAAATTCTCCTATCACATCGTTAAATATTTGAGCTTAACAACTTTAACAAAATATTGCAATAACAAACATAAATATGATAGCTGGTCGTTATTTGAAAAAGTGGGTAAAAAATAAAAAGATCTGAAATTGACAACATTTTCCATTTCACTAAAACAGCCATTAAGCACTTCTATCTTCTTTTTATCATTTTCTCACTGAAACCAAGTAGTGTCTTTTCTCCTCTTTACATGCGATAAAAACGGAATAGTCCATTATATATGAAGTATTGACAAGAGACGCTAAACACTTCTAACTTCCATTCTTTTTTTTTTCTTTTCTTTGATTCATTTTCACATTGAAACTAAGAAGTGTCTTTTTCCATCTTTTCGGGCGATCAAAACGGAATAGTTCATAATTTATGAGGTATTGGCAGATGTTAATCACTTCTTTCTTTCTCTTACTGAATCCAAGTAGTGTTTTTTTTTCCCCACCTTTTCACGCGATCAAAATGTAATAGTCCATTTATGAGGTATTGGCAGGGCATAACGGTCGTGCAAACTATCGAAGGGAGGGACAAACACAATTATAATAAAAAAAAATTTTTGGTTTAAAATCTTAGTTTACTCACGCAGCAAATAAATGCAGTTTAAATAAAATTGTTGAATGATTCATAAAATAGCATTCTATAGACCTTGACACCTGGCCTATATCTATTCAGTTGTGACGCTCAGATATTTTAATGAATAAAAGAAATAGTATGATTTCTTTTTCCTGTTCATGATCCGTATTTGACAGAAATCATTATTTTTGTTTGCAATGGACACCAGTCATGAATTCGTTCCCAGTTGTTTTAAATTATTATTATTTCTCTTTTTTTTTCCTGGGATGTTCCGTTTTATTAAAAGAAACGGCATAATTCTAATTAATAAGTAGGGAGATCGGGTTGCTAATACATACTTTTTATTTTTGTTTTGTGTTGTTTTTTGGGTTTTTTTTTAGATTAAAAGAAATTCTTACATGCGACAAAATTAAAAAAAACACTCCTAGATTACTGATGCAGATAAATATAATCATTGTAATTGCAAAAATAGATGTCACTTCTCTTTTTTTTCCTTTCTTCTTTTTCCCTCTTTCTCTTCGTTTTCTTTCTTTCTCTCTTCTTTCTTTCTTTCTTTCTCTCTTCTTTCTTTCTTTTACTTTCTTTTACTTTCTTTCTTTTACTTTCTTTCTTTCTTTTTTACTTTCTTTCTTTTTTATCGTACGCTAAGCGTCTACTGGTAGAAAAATGTTTTTTAAAATAAAATTCTAGAATACTCTGGTAGGACAAGTCACTGATGGTGAAAATGCCCCAAGATTAATAAAAACAAAGTTTTATCTTCAAAATGTTTGTTACTATCAAAAGAGGAAAGATCAAAGGATTTTTCAATTATTTAATAATTTTTTTACATCCATTTTAGAACCTGCGGGCGGACTATAAATTAGCATAACAAAGGCTAGCGTCTTTTTTTTTTTTTTTTTTTTCGGTGAAAAACACATTGAATTGGAAATTCTTGCAGAAAATCAAATAATTGTTGGATTTTAATCAAACTTTCAGGACATATTCACAAATGAATTAAATTATTTTAGAAAAATGTTTGTATTTTTTTTTTTTTTTTGAAATGTTGATAAAAATATTTTTTATTGGTAAATTTGCTTGTTAAGCCCCGCGCTAAATATCTATAATTTTTTTTCCAAAATCGTCATATTTCCGTGTACTGTAAAGTGTAAATGTACTCAAATTTAACAATTAAATTATGAAATACATACCGACAAGAAAAAATCAGACTAATTCTGGGTAATTCGTCCGCCATTACGGGCATTGTTTTTACTAATTAAGCGCGGGGCACTTCCGGGTATTTTCGTTGGCGTAAGCATAAATTTTGGCCTATTTACTTCTTTTATAGAATTTTGTTACAGAAATCATTACGCACTACCGTAAAGCAATGTATTTTTTTTGCTATATGTAGTTTTATTTATAACATAAAACTTTAAACAAATATATAAAAATAATACAATAAAACCTTTTTTCGTGTAGAATAGCAATGAGTCAATGACAAATTAAAAGAACAAATTAAATAATATAATAAACTTTAGTGAAAACTTTAGTCTTTATTAAAGTATTTTTTGAATGAAAATTAAAACAAAAATAAAAGTAGCGAATAATTATTAATGCGCAAACTTTGCATGAAATTTGAAAAGAACATGATTATTTACAAAATAAAACAAAATACACCTTCCTAGAATTTTTTTATTTTGTAAATAATCATGATCTTTACAAAGTTCGCACATTAATTATTACTTCATTTCTAGCATTATTTTATTAAAATTTTTATTTTGTAATTTTATTTTGTAGATAATCATGCTCTTTACAAAGAAAAAATTAAATAGGGGCTTAAAAAGCAAATTTACCTTTTTATTTTTTACATCTGTTAACCTCCACTAAATCTAATTGTTTGGGTCTTCCTTTTTTTTTATTTCTCAATCTGTTATTTTTCTTTCATTATTTAAGTGTAGTAGTAATTGGATCTTTTTTGTGTGTTAATTCACTCTAAATAATGTAAAGTTACTTATCGCAAATATTAATTCCCCCCACAGAATTATAAATTTAAAAAAAATCAAAATTTGTTTTTTGATTTTTTATTAAATTTTTTGTCACTTTGAAATTATAAAGTTTTTAATTAAAAATTTGTTTAGCTTGCCTCGCAACAATTCCAACCCTCAGAATTAAAAATTACCAAAAAATCATGGAGTTATTCGTAAGTGTGGATGATATCCGAGGTAATTACAAGGAATTCTTTACAATTTAAAAAAAAAAAATCTGTTTTTTGGCTTGTTTCGGTGTGAGCGCGAACGTAGACCCCACAATTAGAAATAGCGCACCCGAATCGCTCACATTTGTTGTGATCGCAAAGGTCAACCCAACCGGAGTACAATGGAAAAGTCTTGATCTGGGAGTGAATTTTTTAATTAGTAAATATTATAAATTATTTTTATTTTGGGATGAATTTTTAAGAAAAGATCCATCCGTACATTGGATAGTTTTCAATTTTCATTCATTTAAAAAAATGTCTGTTGTTCGAGTAAAATAAATGCATTTCTTTACAATTGCATTTATTTATGAATTTAGGAAGATTTTGAAAATTCTTCTCATAACTTAGGACTTTTTTTGCATTTTTGTAATATGAAACCATGAAAAAAATTTTTTACTTAGGAACGAAATTTAAGTTTTATTTTTTATTAAACAAAAATTTCGACTCTTTTTTTTCCTTTTCTTTCTTTTAAAGACCAACTGCGTCAACCGTTATGTTTACGAAGAAGATCCTGATTTGGTCATTAGAGAAACTATAAACTAAAAATAAAAACTAAGTCATGTCCCCCACCACTTTTATACTCAGCTCAATGTATGAGTCAAGAATGTTAGAAGGAGGTACTTTCTTCAAGAAAGTTTCAATAGTCAGTTTTTACATAGTACGGAAGACTGTTACTGTAAAAAAAGATTATTTGATTAACTTTTTTAATGTATGCAGGAAACAAAGAAATTAAAAAATATAATATTTGATATCCGGATAACTTGAACAACTATTTATTGAGATAAATCTCTAAGGATTTTAATTTATTTTTGTAAACAAAGTTGCTTTCTCGTACTTTTTTTTCTATAAATACTTTAATTAATCAGATCAGCTCTTCACTATGGTACCTTCTAGGTATAACAACAAAATTGTCCAAATCTTATAATAGCAAAATTGTCTAATTGCTAGATTAAACTCTGAACTTATCAAAGATAACTTACTGGAATTATTTTTTGTATCACTATTGGACTCTACTTTGAGCAATAAGAATGTATAATTACTCTCCAAGCTTAACAGAAGAATTATGATGAATCGATCATAAACGAAAATGACATGTTCATCATTAATTAATCATAGCTAAGGAGTAGAAGCTCATGAAGGATTGAAATAAAGTTCAAATATATTATTCCAGGATCATTTTCCAACTTATTCAAGATGATCTTTGCCCTCTCTAACCTTCTAACTTTTTGTCCTGGAGTAACAAGATGCCTTACATGTTTCATGTACAATTTCATTTTCAAGTCTTTTTTTCACTGATCTTTGGACTGTCATAGATGAAACTCCTCTCTCACAAGCCAAATGTCATATGGATTGAGTTGAATCTTTTCTAATTGATCTCTTTACTGCTAAGTTAAAATGATGATCCCTCTTTCTGTTGTGACCTCCTGATCCAGTTTTCCTCTCTACTGTTCCCTCTTTTTTAAACTTATTCACCGTTCTCTTGATGGTTCTTGAATAGACTTTGAAGATGGAAGCTTGAGTATGAATGTTGGTACCATTACTGAAGGTTTGAATGATCTTTTTCCTTTCACCATTGCTCAGTTGGGAAGACATAGTGGGCTTGACACAAAATGATTTTAACCTGTTCTCTTTCTAGCTGAATAACTCAAAGGTTTTTTCCGTGATTCTTACAACAAATGGTATCAAGATGGCTAAACGTCTTATCTGAAAACCTGGAAAAAAGAAACTCAATTCGTTTAATGGTTTTTAGATATTAAACATTTTGTGGGATGGACAATTATCCCATTCTGATTTGGACAATTTTGCTGTAACACCCAGTAGATTTTAAGCGTAGTACTAGATTAGCAACAAGGTCTCCCCAATTGAATTGGCTAGATGTAACTGTAAGTTCTATGCTAGCAGTTTCTTTTCTTGTGCTTCTTGCTTGTGGAACTCTCTGTCTCAGCTCCATGCTTTCCAGCCAAATTCAATCTCTAAAAATTTAAATGCAATGTCAATCATTATCTACTGTCTTCCTGATTACTCTTCTATTGTTCTCGCTCCTCAATAATGCTTCTGTTTTTTTAATTCTTCCACACTCAGTTACCCCTTGTGTCTTAGTGGCTTTGCTGCCTTACTTGGAGTGATTTTGATTAAAAATATAATGCAAGAATGTCCCATTAGAAATGAGAAAGAAAATACTCCATCTCTCAAATTTCCGTGGACCCAAGGCCAGTTGGTATAAACAGAATTCTGCATAATCCATTTCCAATGGCATCATCCATAGTTGTTGACATCTATTGTATTTTTTGTTTTTACAGACTTTGTATCTTCAACCCTGTGTTTAATCATCTTCAGGTGGCAAGAATTTGAATTTAGAGTTGTCCTGCATTAAGATGAATTAAAACATATTGAGACACATTAAGATGCACTGAGATTTGTTACGATAAATTAAGACACATTGATAAGCATTAAGACACACTTAGATGCATTGAGATACCTTAAGCTTTTTAATGAATTAAGACACATTGAAATGCATTGAGATGTCTTAAGAAGCATTCTGATGAATTAAGACACATTGATAAGCATTAAGACACACTTAGATGCATTAAGACACAGTGAGACGCATTGAGACACCTTAGGAAGCATTGAGATGCCTTAAGCTTTTTAATGAATTAAGACACATTGAAATGCATTGAGATGTCTTAAGAAGCATTCTGATGAATTAAAACACATTGAGATGCATTGAGATGTCTTAAGAAGCATTTTATTGAATTAAGACACACTTAAATGCATTAAGATGCCTTAAGAATCATTCTGATGAATTAATAAACATAATGCAATAAGATGAATTAAGACACATTGAGATGCTTTAAAAATATTCTGATGAATTAAAACGCATTGAGATACATTGAGATGTCTTAAGAAGCATTTTGATGAAATGCCTTAAGATTGCAATGTAAATTCATCTAGATTTTGACCAACAAACCCAAAAACACTGAGATTATATTTCAGAAGACATGTCATGGAATTTTACTGGTTGGAACTTCTTGAATTTATTAATAATCTTGGTGGGCTCGGGGGGATAATAAACGGTGGGAAGGAATGGATTCATGCCTTTACAAAGTGAAGGCAACAGTCTTGAATGGAATTTGAACTTGGCCTGTTGATTTCATATTTAATCACAAAAAAAAAACTTCTCTATCTGCCATCAACATGGCTGATGCTAACCTCCAGAAGAGCAACTCTTTGTGCCTTCTTGGGGTCACGTTTTCCACTGACATAAAGTGGATGGATTATATCAAATCAATTGTTAGGTCTACAGCAAGAAAAGTTGTTTCACTGTGTTGAGCCAGACAATTTTTCTCATCAGAATCCATCTTACACATTTATAAATCTACATTGGATATAGCTGCCATATTTAGTCTGG